CACACACCTGTAATTCCAGAACTCTGGAGGCTGAGGCAGGAGGATTACTGCAAGTTTGAGGCTGGATGAGCTACAAAGTGAGTTCATGGCCAGCCTGAACTGCATAATGAGAGCCTGTCTCAAAAAAAAAAAAAGTTGAAAGCATCATACCACAGTGATACATACTCATGTTTATGGCAGCACAATCTATATTAGCTAAATTATGATGCTTAGTTAGCACATATGTCCATCAACAGACGAGTGGATAAAGAAAATTATATACGGTGGCGTACTACTCTTGCATGAATAAGGATAAACTTAGGTCATTTGTAGGAAAATGGATAGACCTCAAAACTATGCTCCTTAAGTGAAATAAATTGGGTACACATGTTGTGGTGCGGTATGTGAGAAACCAAGAGTAAGCAAAATGGAGGCTAGAAATCAGGAAGAAGGAAGAACATTTTCAAGTGGAAAGGTGAACAAGGAAGGGAGTGAGGAAAAGGAAGGGAAAAAAAGAGATTTTTTAAAAAGAATGTAATGCAGTGGCCAGGGTTTGATCTCTGCGTGCCCATGCTGGCCTTGCCCCCGCGGCGTGCTGAGACAGCGATGGAGACTGGGCATGGTTGCGCACTCCTGTAATCCCAACATTTGGGAGGCTGAAACCAGGAGAATCACTACAAGTCAGAGTCCAATCCATGTAATGAGACACTATAGACCCTGTCCTTAATATAGAAAAACAAAAACAAAACAAAAACAAATGGAAGAGGCCTTTGAGATAGCTCAGCAGACTAAAGCACCTGCTTAGGCAAACTTAGGCAAGCACAAGGACTATGATTCAATCCCTGGCACCACGTGCCAGGCCCGCCCCGCCCCCAGCACAGTCTGAGCTGACCAGAGTCCAGGTGAGGTGGCACATGCCTGTAATCCCACTACTGGGGAGGCTGAAAGCAGGAGGATCACTATGAGTCCGAGCTGTGTAGTGAGACCCTGTAACAACCAAATACATTAAAAAAAAAAAAAAAAAAAAAAACAACCTTGTAAATGGAACAGAGAAAGGTCAGAGGGAGGTGTGGGGAATGGAAAAAAAAAAGAAATATATTCTGTACAGGTAAAAATTCTCTGATGAATGTGAACATTGCAAAATGTACTGACAAAAAAATAAGAAATAAAAACAAAGGTGAAATAACTGTTTCATGTTCTCGGCATAAAATTGAGTCAGAGCTTTTCCCTCTTCCGGGTACGGCGTCTGGAGGCTTTCACAATGGTTCAGTGCCTGACGTACCGGCATAGGCTTTCCTACAACACTGCTTCCAACAAAACTAGGCTGTCCCGAACCCCAGGGAATAGAATTGTTTATACCAAGAAGGTTGGGAAGGCCCCCAAATCTGCATGTGGTGTATGCCCAGGCAGACTTCGAGGGGTTCGAGCTGTGCGGCCTAAAGTTCTTATGAGATTGTCTAAGACGAAGAAGCACGTCAGCAGGGCTTATGGGGGCTCCATGTGTGCCAAGTGTGTCCGCGACAGGATCAAGCGCGCTTTCCTTATTGAAGAGCAGAAAATCGTGGTGAAAGTGTTGAAGGCTCAAGCACAGAGTCAGAAGGCTAAATAAAACATGAAGCTGTTGCAGTAATAATTAAAAAAAAAAAAAAAAATTAAGTCAGAACTAAGGGCATAAAAATAAAAATCTACCTGTGTTCCCAAAGCCTTAATTATAACTTGACTGCATGAGCAGTAACGGCCTCTTGTGTTCTGCTCCTGTGTGTGGATGTATAACAAATGACCCCAGAACTTAGGACAAGATGATCACATGTTCAGCTCACAGACTGTGCAAATGTACTTCCCCTAGCTGGTCTGTGTGTTGTTTGCATTCTATTGATTGAGTCATTGACTGATTGATTGATTTGATATAGAGTCTCACTACACAGTTCCGACTCATAGTGATCCTCCTGTCTCAGCCTCCCCTGCGCTGGGGTTACAGGCATCATCACCATGCCTGGTTTTGGAGTTGGCATGGCACATCTGCAGGAATCAAGGATCAAACTCTGCTCCTTGTACTTTCCAAACAGATGCTTATGAGTGTCTTCATTCTTGATTGAAAGACTCAGAGCTGGGGCATCAGGCTCCCAGGGCTTGCTCACTCGTGGGCAGTTGATGTTAGCCAATGGCTAAGGCTGCTAGAATGTCTGTACAGCTTGGCTTCTTCAGGCAGAGCAGCTGGCAGCAAGAGCAAGGGGTGTACTTACAGTGTTTGTTTTTTCCTTTTTTTGGTGGTTTTGGGGACTGAACCCAGACTTTTCACATCCCAGTCCATATTTTTGTTTTGCTTTATTTTGAGTTAGGGTCTCACTGCATTGCCCAGATTGGGTTTAGACTTGGAATCCTACCTCCTCCCAGCTGGGATTGCAGGCCTGCACCACCATGACTCTGCTCATGACATTTAACCTTGATCATCAGCTTGCTTGGCTGACTAGTAAAGCAAACTTCTAACTGCATTGAATCATAAGGGTGTGACCTAGGGGACCATATCTTTGTACTGAACTACATGCTCATTGCGCTCCCCTTTTTAATGTTGAGGCAGTCCTAATAAATCACTGAGTTGCTCAGGCTAGACTTAGATTGGTGATCCTCCTGCCTCAGCCCCCCAGAGTGCTGGAGTTACAGATAGGCACCACCCTGCCTGCTAAGGATGTGTATATTAAGAATATAAAAGAATATATAACCATGATAATAGTGCTAGGAGTAGTGGCACATTCCTGTACCTGTAATCCCAGCATTCAGAGGCTGAGGCAGAAGGACTGCTGTGAGTTTGAGGCCAGTCTGCACTACAAAGTGAGACCCTACCTCAAAAACAAAAAACAAACCAAAAAAAAAAAAAAAAAGAAGGGGAGGGTCTCAAGATTTAACTCAGTGGTAGAACACTTACTTGCCTGCAAGCTGGAAGCCCTAGGTTCAGTGCTTAGCACCAAAAACAAAAAAGAAAAATCTCAACTAAAAAAAAAACACAACCCACCAATAATAATAGTAGGAGGACAGTGGATAAATCCACATTAATTTCTGGGTATCCTATGATTTTTCAAATACTGTAAATAAATTTTATGTATTTGGTATGGGGTCTAACTATGTAGCTTGGACTCAGTGATCCTCCTGTTTTCAGCCTCCCCAGTGCTGAGATTACAGGCATGTGCCACCATGCCTGGACTCAGTCACCAGTTCAGTGCACCTAGGAGCAGGGCCAGCATGCCATGTGGTACCAGGGATAGTGAAAATAAATTTTAAATCATTTGTCATAAGTAATTTTAAATTAATACGTAAATTTAGTATGTAGATATGTATAGATATGTGTGTGTGTGTGTACTTATTCTTGTTACTTGTTTACTTTTTGAGACAAGGCCTCACTGTAGTTGAGGCTGAGCCCAAATAGTGGCACATGTGTGTAATCCCAGCACTCGGGCCAGCCTGGGTTGCATGGTTCAAGGCCAGCCTGAACAACATAACAAGAATAGCAGCAAAAAAGTATAGTTCACACTTGCCTCAAACTTGAAATCACTGCAGTTTTGTTGCTTCAGTCTCTCAACTACTAGGATTACAAGGATGTACCATCATACTATAAAATTTGTCTATATCTTAGCTGAATATGGTTATGTGTATCTGTAATCTAGCACTCTGGGAGACTGAGGCAGATAGATGACTAGTTCAAGTCCAGACTAGGAAACTGGTAATAGCAAAACCAAGTCGCCAAAGGGGGGAAAAAAAAAAAGGAACATGGCTGAGAATGTAGCTGAAATCAAAGGGCCTGAATTGAATACCAGGTACTGCCAAAATATATATATCCCCATGATCCCCACATATTTATATTGTTATGTAATGAGAAAGTTCCTGTTTCATGGTGACGAAACATAGGTATCAATATCTATTTTTTTATATAAGCATGTTGTAGAGTTGAAGATGGATTTAAAAAAGAAAGGATGCCGCTCAGTGGTAAAACACTCCTGGATTTGATCCCCTTACTAAAAAAAAAAAAAAAAAAAAAAATCCATCCTTCCCTCTCTTTCTTCCTCCTCCTTGTGCTGGGATCAGATCTAGGGATTTTTATACCCTAGGGATTTTTATACCCTACCACTGAAATACACTCCCACCCAAGACACGATCTTTATTTTTTGTTTTTCTTTGAGACAGGGTTTCACTCTGTAGTTCAGGCTGGCCTTGAACCCACTTTGTTGCCCAGAACTTGCAGTGATCACCCTGCCTCGCCTCCTGTGTGCTGGAATTACAGGCATGTACCACCATGCCTGCTGTCTTTGCAATAATTATTGCTTAAATCTGATCGCTCACTTTCCTTTCTTCACTGCAGTTGCGGCAATCTCAGTCCTACTGCATTGACACAGAATGCCTTCAGGAATGTAAGTACCAGCAGGATGCCAGAGGGTTGGCCTTTGGGGTAGAATTAGAAGCTGAGTGTTTGCTCTTAAAGGAAATGGCTCTCAGTAACGTATTTGCTACTTAAATATTTCATTTTTAAAAAATGTTTATTTCTTTATATGTGTGTGTGTGTGTGTGTGTGTGTGTGTGTGTGTGGCCAGCTCAGCCCACCAGGGGGCGAGGCTGGCTGGCATGTGGTGCTGGGGTATTGAACTGTGGTCCCTGTGCTTTTTTGCTAAGCTTGTTCTAAGTAGGTGCTTTAGACCACTGAGCCATCTCACCAGCCCCTAAATATTTCATTTTTAAATTAAAAATTTTTTACCTGCTTTAGAAATAAACCACAATAGGGGCTGGGGAGATGACTCAGTGGAATAAGCACTTCCCTGGCAAACCCAAGGGCCTGAGTTCAATCCCTGGTTCCACAAAAAAAAATAATAATAAATAAACCACGTTATTGAAGAACATTATAAAATCTCAGATAAGGAAGTAAAAGCTCACATACTTCAGGATAAGCACTATTGACCACCTTGTATATACCCTCCCAGACCATTTTCCTGGTGAATATATTGGTGACGTGGGGCAGGGCATAACTGGAGCAGCTGGCTGGGGACCCCAATCTGTGTCCACTGAAGCTTGGGAACTTCTTGGAGGGGTGGATCCTTCCTGGATTTGGAGGCACTGGGGGCTATGGAGTTCACTCCTTTGGCTCCATTGTAGCATTCCCAGGAGAGTACACTGGTGAGCTTTCTCCACAAAGCTTTGGGGTAGGGGGAGTGGTCAGGTTTGAACTGGAACAGGAAGGTGAATCCTCAGTGATAGGATCCTGGTAACCAGATTTGGTACCCCTTATATGACACATCTGTTCTCATGATACTGAGAAATGATACTTGAAGGATACCTTGAGGGATCCTTTGTGTTTAAGCCAATCTAATCTTGTTCCCTAAGATTGTGAGAAGGGAAGTACAAGAGCTGGGCATGGTGGTGCGGCCTGAAATCCTAGTTCTGTGACTGAGGCTGAGGCAGGAGAATCACCAATCTGACCTACAAGGTGGTTCCAGGCCAGCCTGAACTCCACAGTGAGACCTTGGTTAAGAAAGAAAGAGAGCAAAGAAAAAGGAAAGTATGACATTGATAGGATGATACTGTCAGGCACAATGAGATTTTACATTTTTTTAAACATTTTGCAGTTCTGGAGATACAAGTTAGGGCCTCATGCTTGCTTTGCCCCTGAGCTGTTTCCCAGCCCAGAACTAGGTTTCCTATGCATTTGCAGAAATGGACTCATTCTGCATTGTTTTTCACAACTGTATTATAAATAGATTTGTGTACCTTAAAAATATTTGTTGAACTAGGGGTGTAGCTCAGTGGTAGAGCACTTGCCTGGCATGCAGACGCAGGCCCTGGCTTCCATTCCCAGCACCACCAGCAACCAAAATGTGTTGACTAAATAATAATAATTTACTATGAGGATGTGCCAGTGTTTAATGGTTCCCTTTTTGTTGGATTTAGGTTGCTGAGATATTTTTTGCTATTGTAACCACTATTTGAACAAATGTTCTTTGCACGTGACAGGAAGGAAAAACAGTTTTTTCCTCAGTCCTCATAGTTTTTAGCTAAGGCATCTATAACAGAAAGCAAATCAACAAGAGGAAAACAAACAAGCTCCTAAATGTGTGTGGTGCACATTATGCCTCACATGCATGAGGTCCTAAGTGCTATCCCCAGAACTGCAAAACACTTTTTTAAAAGATTAAAAATAGAGGAGCTGGCCAAATAGCTCAGTGGATTAAAGCACCTGCAAGGTGCCAAGGGCTCAATCCCCTGGCCTGCTGTGCCAGCCCCACCCCTGGGGCACAATGAGAGCGTCAAAACCTGGGCGTGGTGGTATGCACCTGTAATCCCAGTGCTTGGGAAGCTGAACACAGATGGATCAGTAGGAGTCCAATCTACATAGTGAGACCCTGTAGACCCTGACCTAAAATACAAAAAATAAAAAGAAAAATTTGTTTAAAAAGATTAGAAATAGGGGTTGGGAGATAGCTCAGTGGCAAGTGCAAGATCCTGCCTGGCAAGTGCAAGATCCTGAGTTCGATATGGGGTATACCCCCAAAACCTAAAAATCTAGCTGGGTGTGGTGGCACATGCCCATAATCCTAGCACTTGGGAGATGGGGGCAGGAGGGTTATGATGAGTTCAACTATATGACAAGATCCTGTCTCAAAAATAAATGAGCAAACCTGTCAAGTAACTCTAAAGTAGCAGCTCAGAGCTGTCCTGTCCTTAGAGTCTGCCCTCAAGAGCAGTAAATGTGAGAATGCAGGCAGAAACTTTTAAAAAGGAGGGTTAGGTTTGCAGGGATGGGACAGTGTGAAAGGGGTGAAGTTCGTTCTCACATTCCCCTGGAACATGCTATACTACGAGCACAGAGCTTTTAGATCCTGCCTTTAGGCAAAAAAGTGGGCAGTTAATAGGAACTGCTTTTGCTGCATTTGATTTTTCATAATTGTCTTCAGCTCAAAAATAATGTTTTTGTCAAAAATGACATATTCTGAGCTGGGTGCCATTGTTGTTACCCCACCTACTTGGGGCAGCCGAGGCAAGAGAACCATAAGTTTGAGGCCAGCTGGACAACTTAGTAAGACCCTGTCTCAAAGTGACATGCAGTTTTAACAAGTGGTGATGTGTAGCGTAGGGGTAAAGCACTTGCCCAGGCCTAGCCTATGTGAACCCCTGGGCTCACTCCCCAGTGGCATGCACAAAAAAGCATAGTTTGGAATGGCATATTTTGAAATGTCCTACATGCTATTTAAGGACATGACACATTGCTTAATTACATTTATCTTTTTATTAAAAGTAAAACTTTTTTGGTGCTGAGGATGAAACTTCAGGCTTGAGTACTTGTCAGGCAAGTGCTCTGGTATTGAGTCCACCCTGGCCCCAAATTATGGTTGTCTGTTTAGAGTGAAGGTCTGTGTTTATTAAAGGTAGGAAAAGAAACATGCCTGTAGAGCAAATTTGGGCGAACTAAAAGCAAAAGGTGCATTCTACAATGCTACTTACGAAACAGAGAATACAACATAGTCCCAAGTTATGTTTATAAATAGCCTAGTTGCTTGTGTTTAATGTCTCTAAAGCTGAGTATTCCTTGATTACAGATTTAAACTAAAACAAAATATAGTTAGTTACCGCTGTGAAAAGTCTTGTTACTGATAGGTTCTGGCCCTAGTATGAATTGCTAAAATCATCATAGTGGTCATCTAATATGACTGAAGCCCTTAAAACAAAAGCCCATCTTCCCAAGACCACCTCCCCTTTTCTTCTCTAACTCAGTCCAGGATACACTTTCCTTTCACCCTTCCTGCAGCCTCAGGGAAGACCCCCATTCAGCTACCTCAGGTATATCTATACATCCCCTCCAAACTCCACCCTTGGCAAATGGCCGTAAAAGCCTCAGCCTCCCTTTGTTCAACTCCAGAGAATTCTTTATCTTCCCGAAATTCTCTCTGTGTCCTCAAAGAAAATAAAACCTCTTTCCCTTTTTCCTTCTGCCCGTTTCTCTGCTGCACTGTGTACCTGAAAAAAACCTATTTTTACTTCATACAGTGTGAACTGTATGAATACACTTGGAGCTAGTTAGGACAGTGGATTTTATTCATCACTGGTAATAGCATACTGTGTAAGAAGACAGTGGGAATGTGTACAGGTAAGCGCTCATGTGTTAGGATGAAGGGTGGCCATTCTTCCTGGCTCCAGGTTTCTATTATTTTTCCAGTAACGTTTGTTCAGCTAGAGCGCAGCTCAAATATCTGCCTCAGTAAGTAGAGTACAAACCTGCTTTTCTAGTTGAAAAATCTTGAATCCCTTAAACAGGTATTTATTACACACATTTGTGACTCTTGAGGCAGCCCTACACAGAGACCAAATATCCTCTTACTCTTGTGGTAAAATGTCCCTTCCTTCCTCTAAGTAGAAGAACTAAACACAAGAGCTTGACTATTAGCCATATTGACTAGTTATTTTACTGCAGACATTCCTGTAGCACTTGTGAAAATCCTTTCAACCAGAGCAAATATTTTTGTTGTTAATGTTTTTGGGTTTTTGAGACAGGGTCTCCTTATGCAGTGCAGGCTAGCCTTGAATTCACTATGTAGCCCAGGCTGGCCTCTGAACTCACAGTGATCATTCTGCCTCAGCCTCCCAAATGCTGGGATTATAGATGTGCACCACCATGCTCAGCTCAGGAAAAAAAAAATATTTTTAAAAGTTAATTGACTTATTTTAGAGTTATGGAAATTTCAGGCTGCACAATTGAAATGTGCCTTGAAATGAATGTATGTTCATTCTCTCTCTCTTTTTTTTTCAGTGTAGAATAGGGCCAGCCAGATAGGTCAGTGGATTACAGTGCCTGCTTAAGCAGCCCCAGGGACCAGGATTCTATCCCCAGGGTGATGTGCTAGTCCGTCCGTTCCCCCCCCCCCCCCTGAGCTAGCGATTGAGGCTGGGTGTGGTGACACACGCCTCTAATCCCAGGGCTTGGGAAGCTGAAATCAGGAGGATCATTATAAGTTTGATCTGTAGGGAGGCCCTATAGATACCCTGTACTAAATACATTTTAATAAAAAAACTCCCCCAAAATAAAAACAAAATATCCCCCCAAACAAACAGTAGGATGTATTTATTGGGAGAAAGAAAGCTCCTGTCTGAGGGGACAGAAGAAGGGGTGGCAAGAGGGTTGTACCCTATCCTGTTTAAAAAACAATTGATTTTTGTTGTTTTCTGCCTTCCATTTATAATTTCTATACCTTTTTGTGTGTGTTTTGTTGTTGTAGAACAATGGTTTTTGTGATAATGAGAAATGTCATTAGTTCATAGAAACAACTGTAAGTAGATATAAAATTATTAAAACAGAGGCCAAAGGGTAGATGTCGGAGACATGTGTGTTCTTATTACAGAATCTAATATAGGCTTAGCATTGGGCATT